TTTATTTGCTTTTAGTCATGGATTCAATGGTATGTTTCTGAATTGCAATTAATAAGACAGCACAAAATCTGATTTAGATTTTAAATGTCTCAAAGTATGACATAATATTTAGTACATCATGATGTAAGAAAACAAAACATATTCAAACGGACAGTGAAATGAGTGCAATATTAGTTGCTTAAAAATTGAGGTTTTTGAAAAAAAATAAAAACCGGTATGCTGTTAGCAAACCTTCTTCTTTCTCTCTGTTTCTCTAGACCCAATCCTTCAGTCTTGTGTTGATTCCTGCAACAAATTGCCAGCTGCACTTCCCCTCAAATTGTCTATATATTCCAGGCTTCAATATCAACAGGCTTTGCCTGTGATCACATCAGCTGAGCAAGCCAGTAAAACACACAGCCAATGCACTCCACAAAAATCTACAGAAGAAACAGAAACTAAGGAACAAGACACCCAACAAACACAAAACCAGAAATAAGCATCTATAATCACCTCAAGTCCAGATGCCTAAATGCATAAGAACATGATCAGTAACATCCAGGGAATATAGAGCTGCTAGAACCAAGCTATCCCACCACAGCATATACTAAATATTCCAACATACATGAAACACAGGAAAAAGACCTTAAAAACACCTCTATGATGATGACGATGGAGCTCTTTAAAAGGCATCGAACCACAACTAATCAGAAAAGATGGGGAAGAACATGGCATACTTATCAAAGGAAATGTCCACAAAGTTGGCATTTCTATTCTTAGCATCTATGTCCCAAAGACAAGAGCACCTATGTCTGTAAAAGAAAGAATTCTACAGCTTAAAGCACATATTGACCCTCACATACTGACAGTAGGAGACTTCAATACCCTATTCATACCAAGGGGCAGGTAATCCAGACAAAAACCAAACAAAGACCTGCCTTAATGGCTTGGGCTATGGAAGCTACTCAGGTAACCCAGTTCTTTTAATGTAGGCAGAACATATTCCTGTGGTGAACAAATACATGATGGGAACTAGGGAAAGATGTATGCTGCAGAAAAACATAGAAATGGAGAAGGGAATCAAAATTGGACTCATATTAGTGACCTGCACTGCCACCTAAGGCCATAGAGATGTCCAGATGTGTACTGCCACCAAGAATTATGGATGAAGCAGAGGTCTTTCAGCAGCCAGGATCTGTATTGATGTCTGTGTTACCACCAAGGCCATGCATATGTCCGTGGTCTTGGCTGCTATCTGAATCCATGTTGATGTCCTTGGGCTGTGCTGCCACTGGAGACTACACTACTAATCTAAATGGCCCATGTTTGTCACCTGATGCCATGATAATGTCCAGTCTCTGTATCACCAAAGGCTATATATAGGAGTGTGTGTCTACTGCAGCCAGGGGCAGTAGTCATGGTCTGAGTTATCACCAAGAATGACGAGGAAGCTCATGATACATCCTCTCACTGATTGAAATGATTAAGTAAGCTACTTTTGATAGTAATAATTGTAGGACCATAGTTGAGAAAGAGGGATATGGGGAGGCTTCTGTGACAACCCCTGTTCCTATCCCTCGAAAGTGCAATTTCTAAAGAGGAAGCTCTCAAAGAAAACTCTCTAAGTGTGATAAGGATGCTGAAGTTAGTTCTCCACAATTCATGGCTTCTGACTGGGTGTCCGGGTGGGGAAGACTCAATTTTCTTTAAGGAGCAAGTATCTGAGAGTTTGACCTGACTGTGCTCCAGTGAATATGGAGATAACACAAAATGAACTCTTTTTGCTTAGTAGAGAATAATCAATAACAGTTTTAAAATCTATGGATATGTACTTTAGTAAACCTGTCTCCAAGAAGAAACTTTTGTTTCCAGTAGGATTAGTGTTCCACATACCGAAACAGCTTCAGGTTGTAGCAGAGGTAATAGTATGCCATCTCCAAAATGAGACCATTTTTTTGTCTCTGATTTACTCTAACATTCTTTCATAGGCCTGTCCTACTGGAAGCATAGCATAAATGCTCTGATCATGAGGACCTGACCCCCCATGACAGAGTATACTTCATGGTGAAACCTCATGTACCACCTTAAATTCAGAGAGTAGAGGTTGGCAAGTAGATTGCCAGCAAATATTATACAATATCTTGAAATCAAACTGTGGTCCAAACTGATCACACACTGCAGGCCCAAGAGCTCCAGGGGTAACAAATGCACTTTATGTGCAGGCAGGTGGTAGCAGCTATAAGCAATAACAAGGACAGAGTTGCTTTAGGAAGTACAGTGCTTCCTCTTCAGGAATCACGAGTCATTTTACACGGCTAAAAAGTTCTGTTTGTTGTTAGTTTTTAAAAGAGAAAGTGTATTAGACATTGTAAAATCATTTCATGACTCGAGATTATTTGATGTTTGATTCTCCTTAGTTTATTTAGCAATTCTTTTATTATGGGGAACTATACTGCCTGATTTTTTTAATGTTTGAATAAATTATTAGGATATATTCAGTGGTTCAGATGTTGCATTTGGTTTTCTAAAATTCTCTCTCTCTCTCTCCCTCTTGGTCTCTTCTGTGTGTGAGTATTTGGTATGTTGGTGTATGTATAGTTGTGCATATTCCAGAAAAGGATATCAAGTGGCGTGTTTCACTCTTTTCCTTAATTCATTAAATCTGAAGCTCTCTCTAAAACTAGAGGTCAGTTTTCTCAGCTAGAATGGTAGCCAGCAAAATCCAATGTTCCGTCTGCTGTCTCCAGCTCAAACTGAAACCATCTGTACATGTGAGAAGATACCCATTTTTTCCAATACTTTGTTTTGTTGTTCTGATTTTGTATTACAGGATTCTATTTACTCTCCAGGGTTAGTTGAAGACTCCATTTTCTAGAATGGAGTGTGGAAAATTTATTCATTTTTCAATTTTTGCTAGACTTCTCCTGGGAAGCTAGAATTTTTTAGTTGTCTAGTTCTTTATTTACTTTTATATTAATCAAACTATAATCTTTCTAGATCTTATTTTACTCGTGTTATTTATTTAGTGTTTTTTCAGTACTAAACAAGGACATGATTTGACTGTCCTCACTGTCTCTATAGTTTTTTATTGTTTCATATGATCTTCACTTCTGTCGATTTCCCTACAAATTAAATACACATAAAAATTTATTTCTAATCCATAAATATTATACAGAAAACATGCTGTGGCGGTAAGAACCTTTTTCATTCCATCAAAAGGATCAAGTCATCAAACAGGATCTCTAGTGGTGTTAAAACTTGATCACATGTATTCTGGAATATATAGTTTTAATTCTCTGTTTCTATGATTCATTCTCCAGCAGTGAGTTATGACATGCAGCTCACACATTTGAGTGCTATAGATTAAAGCTGTGCCTCCTGGTGAGAGAATATCAATCAACTCATGAATTTAAGAAAATTTAGCTTTTAACCTATCTATAACTCATTGTATTTAGTAGATCAAGGGAGAATCCTGCCCCAGTGTGGGGTCTAGGACTCCATTCTTTTGATCCTTGTAAGGAGTCTTTATTGGCATTGTGTCATTTACTCACACTGAGATTGACCACCTTCTGACTCCATGCAGTTCTCTGGCCCTTGGATGATGTTAAGCTTTATCCTTTGGTAGTTCGCTCCTTGAACTTCAGTCTCCTTATGCCTAACCCTGAAATCCCAGCTGTACTGCCACCCACAGAAAGAAACAACTCTCCCCAGTCTTCTGTGGATGGTATTTCCTCCCTCCCAAAGTCACTATCTTGCAATGACTTGTGTTGGGTATCGCCTGTGCTAGTGTTTCGTACATTATTGTTTGCATCAGGGTGAGTAATTATTGTCCCTCTCAAAGTATCTTTTCCAAAAGCAGAAACCTTGGCTCATTTAATTTTTTTTAAATTGTTGTCTTAACATGGATCAAAGAGCCAGGATGATTTGGCTATGCCTGTCCCTGTCCAGTCTGCCCACTGTGCTCTAAAGGCTTATGAATGGACAGCTGAATTTCAATCTAGACATTTTTCTCTTGCCTTGTTTATAAGGTGAATCATAACCAGTATACATGTCTGGGCTTATTGTGTATTGAAGAGCATCAGTGTTTCTGCTTCTTAGCCAGTGCCATGTCATGCATCCCACTTGACATTTGTGCTACCTTCCCTGGCTACTTGAATATGGCCATTACTCTTCAGTCTCAAAGTCTGGTACCTCATTACGTCTTCAAACTATTTTCTAATAAACCTGGATGGCTTACATCTTTCATGAGCAATTATGCCCTTATCTTTTGCATTTCTTCAAGTGGAATAGCTTCACATATCTTGTATGATAATTTTACCAGTGGCATTTTTCTTGGAATTTTCCCTATTATGACATTACTGTTTTCAATATATATGGGATTCAATTTTTAATATACCTATATTGACTCTTTATTCTCTACTCTGTTCTTTATTACCCATCAAGCCATGCTATATCATTAATAAGCATTCAACCATCTTTTATTTATATTTAAATATCAGTCTTAAAGGATCATCTTTTTTTAACCAATAAAAAAACTTGACTATGAGTTTTCATTCTCATAAATACTCTGTCTTCAGAAATTATACAAAATTGAATACATAACATTTTCCCTGAAGTAAGTTATTTTAAATGACAATAATACTGTAAGTATAACCATAGAGTTTTCCTGGAGGTACAAACAATTTAAGAGCTTACCACAGAAATCTAAGTTGAAATGCCAAGAGAGAGCACCAAGAAAAAGTTATCTTCAAAGCTAAGAGGGTACTCAAATGTCCAAAGCTTCTTAGAATTCATATTTCTTTTTTTCCTAGAAAATGAAAACAGTTGATTTACATTTCACTTAATGGCTAGTGGTAATCACAAAATTTCCTCAAAATGGCCACATGTTCCCTAGACAAGAAAGCAGATTAAAATTTATTATCCGCAAATTATTACAGCAGCTGTAATGTCAATTTCCTTAAGGCCAGTTAAAGAAACTGTAATCTTAGCCATCATATGATTACACAGAACAATCAAATCAGACCTGTCATCAGCATTTAGAAAACCCAGCCTAGGCAAAGAAGTAGGTGTGAGACACATGCATGGTCTTACTTTAGCGACTGTTTAGCATTTCCTTATTATCACAGAGTCAGAACAGGGAGAATATCCATGTTGTGTTTCTTTTTAAAATGCTCTGCTGAGCAGTTAGCTTGTCCTGTCTGTGTTGGAATAATGAATGCAATTCAGCTCGGTGCTCATAACAAGCATATATGTGCAAGCTTTACACAAATAATACAATGCAAAGTAAGTTTTTGTTTTATAAGAATAATTTGAACTACCAAGGTATTAAATGTACAAATATCCATAGAAATCTTACACTTACACATTTTTTTACAGTTTGCTATTCAGCCTCATTTTAACAAGATGCAAATTGTAATTATTGATGGCCATGCTTTATCACAATCCTTGTAATCTTTATATTATCTGCATTTAATATCTATATTATGATTTAATTATCATTGATACTTTGGTTTATATCAGTATAAGGTATTATGTAAGTTACAAGCACACATGCTCATTTGAGAATTATTTGTTTATAGTCAGACCCATTTCTTAGTTAAGCATTTTGCTGTCCAGTTTCCCATCAATACTGGTATTTGCCATGGGAGTGTAAGGATAGTGTACCATTTGGAGCCATCATAATGTCTACGATATAAACATGACAGAAACATGTTAAAATTCTTCCCATTAATGAGAGTAATCACAAACAATTCCATTTCAATATTTTTATATATTAATCCAATCAATTAGCAGAGCACTTTGTTTCTTTCATTGACTACTATACTAGACAACTAAGATAAAGGGCAAAATAATAATTTAATCAAGATTTCTGATATTTTGGATAATATTACACCAATTTTGTCTTCATAGGGCACATGCTTACTATGTAAAAAAAATTCTAAACATTTGGGTCAACATAAGTAGTCATATTTTAAATACATCATAAACTTTTTAATATAATTTTCTGTAATATCTGTTCTTATGCATTTTATTACTAACTAGATACTTTAAGAAGAAAAACAACAATAAAGGAAGGAAAGGAAACTTTAGGTTGAAGTTCAGCTTCTCATATTTAGAAATTGAGTCTCTTTAGGGATTCATTTTGATTTATTCTTTCACAAAACATTTTCTAGTTTATATTGAATGAAGAACACTCCCTAGCTGATATTTGAAGATAATGAAATCTTCAAAGCTTCTGATATACATACGAGATGACTGAACAAACATTTCGTACATAATTTCAGATTATTTTTATGGTGATATAGAGGAAAGGTGACAATTCTGTTCTCTCATGATCCCGAAGTCAACCAATTACTAAATAGTGTACACTAACCACCTGTTGTACCAAACAGAGGTATCTCTGGCTTGAGGACCAAAATGCATCTCCCTGTTAAACCTCTACTCTCTAAGAGTATCAAATGGCTCTGGAAGAGTGGGAGATAGCTAATAAGTGGTGTCCTAGCATGCCTTGGCTCATGCCTAAGGAAATCAATTAACTGCAGTGCAGTGATTAACAACACCATGGGCACTGTTCCCAGCATCAATAATTTCCATTTTCACCACGGCAGGAATATCATAAAAGAAATACAATTTGTTATCTTGCAGTTAAAATTAGTGTTTTTGCCACCTCTTGGCAGCTTCAAAGACATTGTAAATCGTTGAGGGTCACAGCTTATGCTGGCTAGGTGAATATTACACTTTTGATTTTCAGCGAGGACATATTATTTTAACATTTGTACTAAAAATACAGTGTTCACTTCTCTTCAGGTGAAATAAAAAAATCATAATGGAAGTTTCTGTTTGTTAGAGGAATCAGTGTGCCTTGATTCTATAAACAGAAGGAGCAAGAACTGTTGCCTTCTTTCTTTTTCTGGTTACTTTGTTGCCACTGCATATGTCCAGCACACTAGGCATTAAAGTATCTTTTTAGAAAAATGTGAAGAAAAAAAAAGAAAAAAGAATGAAAGACAGACAGACATCTGCAAGCTACCTTTTTGAAAGCAAATTCTACAATAAAATACTTACGAAAAATCTTTTCCTACGTATCCCCGAGTAACCTAGAAAGCAAATGGATTGCCTCATACACCACAACATCTGTATACAAAGGGTATTTAGGGCTATGACGCTATCCTGATCAGATGTACCACTGATATCATTATCTATCAACTCAATTCTGTCCCGAGATTCACCATGACTGCTGTAACTTTAGGATTCATGCCTCTAGTCTTTCTATCTGCAGTGACATGCATTTAGTGCCACTGCTTCATTTTTATGAAGTATTAGATCTAAATACTCAGGCTTTGAAGAGCTTCAAAGGGTTTTATAATCTCAATACACAAACAGTAATGACATCAAATAGTTCTAAAAAAAAAATTCCTGGCACAGTCTCCAACAGACAGTCAACCCCAACCCCTTCTTATTTTGCCTCCCAAGAAGAAGTATTATACTTAGAAATAGAAAGCATATGCTCTTCACTATATCATCTGAAAAAAAAAGACCACATTCTTAATTAAATTTACTTCAATGTGCTGTCTAGCAAAATATATCCCATTGTTAAAGTCATAATATTGGAATTAATATAATACATTGACTTTATCAACATTTATAGGGATTTTCTCTGTGGATATATTTTTTCTTTTATTAGAATAAATTTTTTCTCATACAATATATTCTGGACACTGTTTCCTAACATCTAATTCCTCACAAATGCTCTCTATTTCCCTTGCTATCCAAATTTACTTTCTCTCTATTAAAAAACAAACAGACATATAAAAGATAATAAGTTGAAATAATATGCAAGAACAAAGGAGAACAAGAGACACAAATAAACCAATAGAAGAAAAAGAGTAAAAAAAATCACAAGAATTATGTGCAAGATAAAAAAATAAAATAATAAAAATAAAAAGTAAAAGCCTTGCCAAAACATTATTAGACAAAGGACTTTCAGAAATGTTATTGAGTTTATTCTATGTGTGCCATCTATTGCTGTGCATGGGGCTGCCCTTAAGAGTGGTTCATATGCCCAATGGGACTCCAATGGAGAAAAATACTTTTCCTTTGTAAGAGGTTTTATATAGGAGATAAATTTGAGGTTAGAGTTGTAAACTTGTATTCATTATTTCTCTAAGCTCAGAAATCTATCTCCTTCAGACCCATGTAGACCTTGTGAATGCTGCTACAATTTCTATGAGTTCATATATATGTATGTTCATATTCCTGCTGTGGCTAGAAGGCCTTGTTTCCTTGGTATCCTTCATTATATCTAACTCTTACAATCTTCTGCAGGGTTCCCTGAACACCAAGGGGGGTATTTGAAGGAGACATCACATTTAGGACTGGATGTTTTAAAGTCTCTCATTCTGTACCTTGTCCAGCTGTGAGTCTTTCTTTTCCTGAACTGTAGGAGGAAGATTCTCTGATGATGGATGAGCAAAAACTCTTATATGAGTATAGCAGAATGTCATTAGGAGTCATTCTATTGCTATGTTCCTTTAGCAGAATAGTAGTATATGGTATCATCCTAGAAACATGGGCTAACTAGTAGCAGGTTCTTGCCCAGCCAAACAGTGTTGAGGATGGGTTTCATTTTATAGGCTGAACTTTAAATCATATCATATGTTGGTTGGTTAGTCTGATAAACTTTGCACCACTGTTGAACCAGCATATCTTGAAGAAAAGTCACTACTGTAGATTAAAGGGCTTATAGGTGATTTGGTTTTCAGAATGTTCCTTTGATAATCTACAGAGCACCTTTCAATACTATGAATACTAGTCAATAAGTGTGAAGGCTCTAGGAAGTCAACAATTACACTTCTCTATGTCCACTGAGTTGCATAGGTGTTGTCTTCAGCAATAGCGCCTTACCATCAGTTAGTAGAGAGCAACCAATAGTATTGTTAGTAGCCTAGATTGCTTGAGGATTTTCTTTTTATATTTTCCTTTTTTTATTGGATATTTTATTTACATTTCAGATGTTATCCCCTTACCCCATTCCCTCACCCCTTCTGCCCAGGAACCCCCTATCCCATCCCCCCTCCTGCTTCTATGAGAATGTGCTCCCACCTACCCCCCCCAACACCCACCTCCCCACCCTCAAATTCCCCCACACATGGCATCCAGCCTTCATGGGACCAAGGATCTCCTCTCCCACCTATACTTGACAGGACCATCCTCCCTTGCATATACAGCTGGAGCCATGGGTCTCTCCCTAAGTGCTTCCAGGCTGGTGGTTTAGACCCTGGGGGCTGAGGATTTTCATGGGACCCTTGAACAACATGATTAAATGTGACCCATTCCTGGAATAAAACTATAGGCTTCATTTGGTGAACAGAGTTATCCATTTGCAGTTCTGTCTCCCTGTTATTTTGTAATTCTAGTCCTATAACCTTCACATATTTCTGTATTTTAGGAATCTTCCACAGTAATGGGTTTCTCTAGGACCCATCAAAGGGCTCAGAGTTCCAGCTGTCCATCCTTGAGTTCAGCTGTCCATCCTTGAGTTCCCTCCTTTACCCTCTGCTCTTTTAGTTTGATCCTCACATTCCACCCCTCAACCATAATTGTTATTCTAGATCTTCTTCCTGGCGAGATCAATCCCTGCCCCCTCCTCTATACCTAACCTTTATGGTCATACAGTTTATATTCTGCTTATCAAAGTTTTAACAGCTTACACTGTATATGTGTTTTAATTCTCCACAACTCCAAAAGATCCAGCCTATCATCCAACACAGTCAAAATACAAAATAATCTAATAATAAGGAAATTTCCCCTGGTTACCTTTTGACCACATCCACCCTCCTACTTACCCATTTTCTAAATCTTTTCTGTATCTAAATATATCAAACAAGTCCCCATTTCAACATATTATTTCATCACAACAATGGTACGCCATTGGATATGCACAGTATATAATTTTATAAATTGTCTTTTTCCACTTTTTCCACTAATCTTCAAGGAAATCTAAGGTATAAGTGGTTGGACACCCCTTATGCATTTTGTAAATCACCACTTAGAAAAAATTTAAATTCTCTTCGAGTTGACATGTAGATGAATGACATTTTCTATCAATATTATTCTACATTTTACATTAAATTCATAGGCCTTCCAATGCCT